TTGTTGTTGGTGTATGGTTCCCTTCAGCAGTATGTAGTGTCCTTCTTTATCCTTTTTGATTGACTTTAGTTTGAAGTCTACTTTATTTGATATGAGGATGGAAACCCCTGCTTGCTTCCGCAGTCCATGTGAGTGGTATGATTTTTCCCAACCCTTCACCTTCAGTCTATGGATATCTTTTTCTACAAAGTGAGTCTTTAGAGGCAGCATATTGTTGGATCTTTTTTTTTTTTTAAATCCAATCTGCTAGTCTATGTCTTTTGATTGGTGAGTTTAGGCCATTAGCATTCAGGGTGATAATTGAGACATGATTTGTATTCATAGCCATTTTTGTTTATTTTTGTATTTTATATGACTTGGTTTCACCTCTGATTAGATTTTCCTTTAGTGTAATCCCTCTCTCTGCTGATTTTCATCACTGTTTTTCTTTTTCTCTTCTTGGAATACTTTGCTAAGGATGTTCTGTAGTGCAGGCTTTCTAGTTGTAAACTCTTTTAACTTTTGTTTATCATTGTAAGTTTTTATTTCATCCTCAAGTCTAAAGCTTAGTTTTGCTGGATATAAGATTCTCAGTTGACATCCATTTTCTTTCAGAATTTGGTGTATGTTGTTCCACAATCTCCTGGCTTTGAGGGTCTGGGTTGAAAAATCTGAGATACAAATTGGTCTCTCCCTATATGTGACCTGGTTCCTCTCTTTTGTGGCTTTTAAGATTCTATCCTTATTCTGTATGTTAGGTATTTTCATTATAATGTGCCTTGATATACATCTGTTGTAATTTTGTGCATTTGGTGTCCTGTAAGCCTCTTGTATTTGGTTTTTCAATTCATTCTTCATGCTTGGGAAATTATCTCATTGAAGAAATTGTGCATTCCTGTGGTTTGAAACTCTGTGCCTTCCTCTATCCCAATAACTCTTAGATTTGGTCTTTTGATGCAGTCCTAGAATTCTTGGATGTTCTGTTCTGGTTTCTAACTATCTTCACTGTGTGATCAACTTTATTTTTCAGATTGTATACTTTGTCTTCATTGTCTGATGTTCTTTCTTCCAAGTGATCTAGTCTGTTGGTTATGCTTTCATTGAGTTTTTTATTTGATTTATTGTATCCTTTATTTTAAGGATTTCTGACCTTTTTTTTTTTTTTCAGAGTCTCTCTCTCTTGAAGTAATCTTTTGCTACCCGTATTTGCTCTCTTATCTCATTGTTGGAGTGATCCATTTTGGCCTGTATTTACTCATTTAGGTCATTTTTTAATTCACAGATCATTTTAATTATGAACCTTCTGAACTTTTTCTCTGACATTTCATCAACTTTGCTGTCCGTGGGTTCTATTATTATAGTATCCTGATTTGTTTGGGGCACTTTCCTTCCTTGTTTTTTCTATGTGTCTTACTTTCTTGCAGTGTGGATCTGAGATATTATAGTTTCTTCCCTATATCCTTGTAGTACCCATGTAGTACACTTTGATGTTGGGCTTCCAGACCCTGCTGGTGTCCCTCAATGAATGCTACTGCATCCTGGACCTGAGTCCTGCGCAAGTTGGAGTGGATGGATCTGGGCCGCTGGGCTTGACCTCCCTTGGTAGTCTGCTGGCTGGAAGGGGCTAGGCTCTGGCGGGTGTCTGCCATGCAGGGGTTGGGGGGATCAGGTCTACTGAGAGTCTGGGTCCTGCGTGGGCTATTTGGATGGGCAGTCTGGGCTAGATCTCTGGAAGGTAGAATTTGAACAAGAGAAAACAAGAGGGAGGAGGCCCCAAGCTTCCTTTTCAGGAAGCCATTGCCATGATAATAGCATTAATGTATACACTTTGCTCTCAAAGCCTAACCACCTCTCCTTAGGCCCCACTTCCCATCATTGTTGCCTTAGGGATAAGTTTCTAATATGTTAGCTTTGGGAACACATTCTAACCATAGTAACTTAAGGTTATCACTTTCCTAAGCTTAGGGCCAGTGGTCCCTTTCACAGTAGCCCCACTCTGGTGACTCATCCCCACTTTCTTACTTGTGTATTTCTGTGACATTTCATAAACTTTGCTGTCCATGGGTTCTATTATTATATGGGTTCTATTATTATATTATAATAATATTATATTATAATATAATATATAATGTTATATTATAATATTTGAGGCCAGACCTTGGCCTCAAACTTCTACCCCATGTATTCACTGCATGTCATCTTACACCTTACCACTGCATCTCCTAACAGGCTGCTGGCTCTTAACTCTTAACTAATTGTCATATTCCCCACTGGAAGCTCATGGAAGCTTCTGAGCTCTATCATGTCACTCTACAGCCAAGAGAAATTACAGGGGGAAAAAAAAAAGAGGTGGGAAGGGAGAATGCAATGTAGCCTCCCACATTAGATGGTCTCCTCCTGAAGCTTAGAAATGGAGGCCAGGCAAAAGTCTCTTCCTTCATCTGCTTTTGTTATGTTCTGTTATTTTGGTCCTTCCAGATTTTTCTACTAAAAGAGCTTCTACTAACCTTTCATGTGGAAGAGGAATAGCCCCCTTCTCCATGGAATGTGGAACCATCTGGACTTACTTGTTCTCAAGGGTACTTTAAATAGAAAAATTATGCATTGAGTAGACATTATTGAGAGAAGAAAATACATCAAAAGGCATTTCAAAATAACTATCTCCAAAGCAATTCAGTAAATTATTATGGATCAGCTTCTATGTGTTAGGAGCCAGGAACAAGGTGGTGAGCACAACAGAAGACATTCCTACCCTTAATGAACTTACAATCTTGAACATTTTATAGGAAATATTGCCATATCTCAATAGCATGGAGATATATACATAAGATTGATCATTTCAACAGTTGTTGAAGACTCAATTGATACATTCATTGATCAGGAAATGATTAAATAGATTATGTAATAGTTATACTATGGAACATTATACAGTTATTAAAAAGAATTAGAGTTCTACTGTTTTTTTTTTTTAATCTCCATTTTGCCAGTTGGTAATTGGCCAGGCATGATGGCTCATGGCATAGACCAAGCTACTTGGGAGGCTGAGGCAGAATGATTGCTTTTCTTATAAGGTGGAAAACCTATTTTTGCAAGCCCCAAATTAGGGCCTATAATATAATATGAAAATACACTAAGGATAATTAAGCAGAATATTTTAAAATCTCAAGTGTCTCAAGTCCTATAGTACACCTGTTTTCTCTACTCATTGTGAACAATTTCTAAATCATAATATGAATTGCATTAAAACTGGAGAAATTAGTTTTTTAGTGGTAGTAGATACCAATTCTAATGAATTAATATTTTATAATCTACATCAGATTTAATTAAAATGTAGTTTATGGTATTTTTGAGAAAATAACTCTTTACCTGTGTATTTTCAGTGGAAGATGCCAAGCATGCAAAATATTTTTCACTGGATCGCTGAATAAATAATTACCATAAAAAAAGAATTAGATGTGTCTGTACATGCTCATATAAAAGAAGAATCTATACCTAATCATCTGAATATATGTCATGTACACATGCAGACATGTCTTCATGAATAGAAACTTAGAAAAATACAAGCAACTATTAATGATGATTTCCTCTAGAAGATGAAATCTGACATGCCTGGAGAGAGGTAGAAAGGGAATTTTCATCATTATAAAGTTCTGTATCAGTTTTGTATGACAAGCTGTGTGTTACTTTTGTTGTTTTTAAAACAAAGAATATAAAAAAGTGAGAAAAATAAATAACCAGAGTTGCTACTGGCACACAATCTAGTCTACATGTTTAGAGAATTATTATTTCTAAATGCAATAGACAAGAAGAAGTGGATAAAATGAGCAACATATTGTTCCAGCTCTCTTGTCTCCTGTCCTTTGCAAGAGTACAAGGCCTTTGGGAGGTTTCCACATGGAGTGTCCAAAGATAGTAAAGAAGCGTCCTCTCTCTTGTCTTCAACATACCCACTTCCCACCCTCCTTTAGTTTGTTTTCAATGCCTTTCCATTTCCCTTTCAAATTTCCTATCTTGCTTGTTTCCTTGAGTTACCTTAGAAATTAGCAGTCCTTCCCAGCTAGTTCTGCCACTTTCAGCCCAGTGGTTAGAATAAGAGGAAGAAAAATGTTGCCTGAGCCTCCATCCAGATCACAGTTTGTTTTGGGGGATTACCATCCCTACCTACCTAAAATTAGATGTTCCTTGCTCTGCCTACATTAGTTGTTCTCCAGAAGTACTTATCACATCTTCTTACAAAACTTGCATTTTTCCATTACTATATTTTTGAACTTGTTATTCTGAAAGAGCATTTGTCTTCTCTTTACTTGAGGTTGTACTTGAATCCCCTCTTTTAGAATCATACTCTTGACCCTCCCCTGGCATCCTGAGTCTCCTTTGGGCTGGGCCCTGTCTTGTGCTTCATCTAGTTAGGAGGAAAACTTTATTCTTGCTCCAGTTTTTCAAGTAGTTTTGTATAGAATAACTAAAGATTCTTCTTAGCCAGTCAACAAAGTCTAAACAACATTAGACTTTGTTTATTCATTCAAGATTAAGTTTTTAATGCCTGCTGTATGCTTTGGTTCTGCCTGTTGAATTTTTTTTTCTGAGTTACTTATCCATATTGGAGAGGACAGCTTTTAAACACAGTAATAGAGTTGTTTCTTCACAAGAAGTGAAGTAAACATCTTGAACCAAAAGCTCAAGTTTCAAAAAGGAAAATAAACTAATATCTATGTCAGAGAAAACAACAACCTGATACCCGTTAGTAGTATCTTACACATTCTTAGCAGAAATTTATAAATTAGTTCTTTTTACCCCACCATGTACTGGTTGTGAATTAGCTTTATCTAGGAATAACTTTATCTCATGGCTGTCTCTTCTATCTTGTGTTTCTGCTAAAATATGAAAGACTGTATTTCATTCACTTTCTTTATTTAAATCAATAAAACTTTATCCAATTAGAAAAATACAATCATAGTAAGTTTGGAGCCAAGCATTATAAATTACCTCTAAATAAATATGATGAAATTTTCTTTTTGCAGATGCAAGTATTGGCATTATGATGAAAACCTGCTTACTTCAAGTGTTGTCATTGTCTTCCATAATGAAGGATGGTCAACCCTCATGAGAACAGTCCACAGTGTAATCAAAAGGACTCCAAGGAAATATTTAGCAGAGATTGTGTTAATTGATGATTTCAGTAATAAAGGTAATGGCTATCAAGTTGACAGTTTGTCTTTAAAACGAGTTAATTATGAGTAATTGCAAATTTAAAATTGTTACTGCCGACAGTATTTATTATCAGCAAGTGACACTGTGCCAAGCATTGTATATGAATTATTTTGTTAATCCTAACAGTAATTTTTAGAATAAATATTGTCATTATCTCCATTTTACATACCAAAGGCTCGGAAATGTCAAGTAACTTGCTAACAGTCACAAAGACAGTAATTAAAAGTTGGATGCAAAGCCACGAGCTCATAAGTTTGTGTCTTCAGTCACTATCTTAACACTATACCAGTTCTTTAGGGCTTGGAGTTTGCAAAATTTTAGTCATGGAAGTTTGAAAGACTGAAAAAATGCAATCACATGTCTATTGCAAGGCCACCCAAAGGGCCGTCCACAGTTTTCACATTGAAATCCATATACCTATTGCATAGCCTATACTTTATATTTGAATGATGAGGGAAATATTAATTTTGACCAGAAACTATGAACTATTTTTATTTATTATAGTATATTTTAAAGCTTATTTTGTTCCATATTTAGTTTAGAATAGTAAACAAAAAGAAATTATGCTTTTTATTCTTTTTAAGGAGGCAGCTATTTTAGCATTTAGGAAGGTCTTGGTTAGTCTTGGCTCAATTTGGCAAGAGAATGATTGAGCAGTGATCTTCCAGATAAGTGATTTTTTTTTTTAAAGGAGAGAGAGAGAGAGAATTTTTTTTTTTATAGATGGACACTACACAATGCCTTTATTTTTTTAATGTGGTGCTGAGAATTGAACCTGGGTCCCACCTGTGCTAAGGGAGCGCTCTACTGCTGAGCCACAACCCCAGCCCCAGTGATTTTTTAAATTATATATTTTCTTTAAATGTATTACTGTTAGTTGAATGTCTTAATGACATGAAGTGAAAATACAAATAATGCTGTAACTCAGAATCTAAGTCAACATGTAAATAAAAATAGAATTTTGCTGCTGCAACCCACATCTGGATTTTTTTTTTCTTGTCACAAAATAGAATTGAAACTTTTGAAAATTGACCGGAGAGCTCAGACTACTCAATAACAACAGGATGTTTTCATTCTGACAAATAAATTTTGCAGAAAATTGTTCTGTATAAGAGTGGTATCATTGAATGTAGACAGAACATAGGTAGCATGAAAATATCTTTCTAAATGACTTTAGAAAAGCTTCCTTCCACCACTTAATTTAAACTCTTGTAATCTGGATAAACTCATACTGTTTTTGCAGAGACATGACTATAATCGTGATCTGCATACATGTTAGCATTAGGAGAAATAGAAATAAGACTTACTTCCTTTTCCCTTTAACTTGGTGTAGTGAATCACTTTTTTCAACCAATCCTATTTAATCACACTAGAGAAATGAATAGTTTTAAATTTTATAATCATATCAAATGCATTTAGATTTTTTTCATTTCTTTTGCTATTGGGGATTGAACCCAGGGACACTCTACCATTGAATCATATCTCTACTCTTTTTTATTTTAATTTTGAGACAGGGTCTTGCTAAGTTGCTGAGGGTCTCAATAACTTGCCAAGGCTAGCATGGATTGTAATTCTACTGCCTTTGCCTCTGGAGTTGCTGAGATTATAGATATGTTATCTTTGTTGCAATTTTCTATAACAGGAATGTTTACATCAAAAATATTATTCTTATTCCAAGACAAATATTTGAACATATGTTTTATGGTGATACTGTTGGTACCAATAATATTATAAGTATAGAAAAACCTAAACCACAAAACTACTCTGAGAAATCGCCTTTGATTGTACTGATTTTAAGAACCCCTATATTATTAACATAAGAAAAATTTTAATATGTCCTTAAAAATGTAAAGGCTTACTAAAAAGTTATTACCATCCTGAAATAACTACTTGATCCTGAAAATCAGAACAGAATTTTGGGCTTAAGATTTTTGTGCCTTTTACTTTCACCTTTTTGTGATCAGTACTTCTGTTGCTATAGATCTCTTATGTTCAGTCTCATGTATCACAATTTGAAGGCAGTCATGCAGGGACTGCTCATAGTATGCAAAGCCTTTTAGGTTCTCCTTGAACAGAGGTACGGAAAATCTGTCATTAGTTTTCCCAAACTCACAATAATTTTTAAATCTGTTGGTCCTAACTTCAGTAAAATTAATATCATATTTGCTTAATATGGCTGGAGTGAAAAATTTGGTTTGTACTTTCTCCAATATATTTCTCCAATATAGAAACTAAACTTTGAATTTATAAGTTTTCCTTTAGAGAAAAATTACTGATAAAAACCTCACAAAGGAGCTAACTACTCATAATAGCACTTAGATTTCTGAAAATTGGTGTGTCCTCTCAACAAGGTTTGGAACCTTTAAAAGAGCAAGCTCCTCTATACACATGTGCATCAGCCAGGGAGGCTAAGTCAGGCTAAGGTAAAACACAACTCCATTCTTTTTTTTTTAAATATAGACACAATATCTTTACTTTATATGTTTCCTTTATTTTTATGTGGTGCTAAGGATCGAACCCAGTGCCTCACACATGCGAGGCAAGTGCTCTGCCGCTGAGCTATAACCCCAGCCCCTCAACTCCACTCTTAATGGCTTATAACAACAAAAGGTTTTCTCCTTTTATACTACATTTCCTACAGGTCAGCCTATCTCTGTGCTCTATCTTCACTGCAAGACCTACACTTTGCAGAGCAGCTTCAGCTCACGCTGCCTGTGTAAAGGTAGAAGAAAGAAGAGATCTAGTAAAACACAAAAGGCCTCATAGTGCTTTTGCTGACAAGTGACCCATAGCATTTCTATCCACGTGTCATTGGCCACAGCAAATCACACACCCAGCCTGACATCAGTGGGTTAGAGGCGGGTAATTTTACTCCAGGAGTAGTGGATATTTTGAACCCTAATACAGTCTATTACCATGTAAGATTTCAGAAGAGCAAGGAGTCATTGTATTCACTATTTCCCCTTTTGGGCCATCTTAAACAATAATCTAAACTTGAAGACTAGGCCACCAACTTATTTCTGTCCATAAAAATGTAATTAAGATGGTTTAGGTTGCACATCCAAAAATGTACCTAATGGAATTCAGAAAGAAAGATTTTTTTTTTAAATAATAACTTAGGATACTAGTCTTAAAAAAGAAAGAAAAAAAAAGGAGAAGGTTTATTTTTTTTAATTTTTATTGTTGGTTGTTCAAAACATTACATAGTTCTTGACATATCATATTTCACACTTTGATTCAAGTGGGTTATGAACTCCCATTTTTACCCCATATACAGATTGCAGAATCACATCTGTTACACATCCACTGATTAACATATTGCCATACTAGTGTCTGTTGTATTCTGCTGCCTTTCCTATCCTCTACTATCCCCCCTTCCCTCCCCTCCCCTCCCCTCCCATCTTCTCTCTCTACCCCATCTACTGTAATTCATTTCTCCCCCTTGTTTTTTTCCCCCTTCCCCTCACTTCCTCTTGTATGTAATTTTGTATAACCATGAGGGTCTCCTTCCATTTCCATGCAATTTCCCTTCTCTCTCCCTTTCCCTCCCACCTCTCGTCCCTGTTTAATGTTAATCATCTAAGGAGAAGGTTTAAAAGTAAATAAATAAATAAAATCTAGAAGGGAAAATTACCCAGATCTTCTGGGGTGGGGGGAAACATGAACAAAAGAGTTTTATTTATAACATTCATTAAAACTGCCAAAACAGAAGGAAAAAAAATTTCTAAATTCTGAATACCCATGTGTTTCTTGCTGTCTTACTAATAGAAGATCCCTAAAATTAGTAAAATATTAAGTGCATTGACTGATATACCTATTTAACCCCTAGCTCATTTCTATAGCAATTTTTTGTGATTTTTATATTCATAGGCCAAATTTTTAAACAGTTTTTGTATTGTCAAGAATCATCTTTAGAGCTTATTCTGGCTGTGGTGAGCAAATTTCACAGGCTCATAGTGATAAAAACAAAAGCTGTTCTCTTACATTGGGAAGCCAAGAAGGAAATTTTGCCAAATATATTTTTGTTGTTGTTGTTTTAAAATATTTTTTAGTCCTAGATGGACATAATGTGTGTTGTTTGTTGTTGTTGTTGTTGTTTTTAAAATATTTTTAGTTGTAGTGGACATAATGATTTTATTTTATTTATTTATTTTTGTGTGGTGCTGAGGATCTAATTCCGTGCCTCACACATGCTAGGCAAGAGCTCTACCACTGAGCCATAACCCTAGCCCATGTATCTGGTTTTTATAAAAGAAAATATCCTCTACTAAATTATAAACATATATATGTATATATACAATAATAATAACAATCCAATAAAATTATACACACACTTGTAATGCTAAGATATACAGAAAATAGGATCTTTTGATAGTTATTCATCAACATGGCAGGAACCATATTCATCACAATAAGACTGCAGACTTCATTCCCTATTGCAGTTGGAGAAAGCCCAGAAATGAAATGTATAACCCATGCAGATTTCGGTGAAGTTTTATGTTATCAGTGCACAGTGTATCTTCAGAAATCAAAATCATTGCTTCTGACAACACAAAAAGCAACAAAAAATCTTTTAGATTGAACATTACCGTGTTAATTTAAAAAATTTTTTTTAATGTATCTTAAAGACTCAACTGTCAATTGGCATAATCACCATTTATTTAAAGTTTAGTAGGATGTTTGATAATTGTCACACCAACCAGTTCTCTGTAGATATATTAAGCTTAAATTTTAACTTAAGTAATACATATCAGCTTCCATTTTTTTTTCCCCCCTTGGGGATTGAACCCAGGGCCTCACTGATGCTAAGCTCAGGCTTTTCTACTGAGCTACACCCCCAGCAGGCCACAGTCCTTGCTTGTCCTCTTAATAGATTAAACATTTGATAGGGCCCATGTAAAATTATTGACTGCCCAGCACATTTATACTCTTTGTTGAGAAAAATAATACTTTTTTATATGCAAAGTTTTGATTTTATAATGTTGATTAAATTTTTTATTCATAGACCACTTAAAAGAAAAACTGGATGACTACATTAAGATGTGGAATGGCCTAGTAAAGGTATTCCGAAATGAGAGAAGAGAAGGATTAATTCAAGCGCGAAGTATTGGTGCTCAGAAGGCTAAACTTGGACAGGTAGGAAGCATATGCTATCTACAATGTCAATAGCTTGGATTTGGTAACTAAAAGATTATATAAATTTTTAATCACTCTTCAGGTTTTAAAAATGAAATGAGAATGCTGGCTTGAACAAATAACTACTGTGTCAAAATTGACTGTAATATTAATTTTTGTTAGCGTCTGATTTTAAATTGTGTGTGATTTGTGATGTACCATATGCAAGGAGTATTCTTTCACCCTGCCTCTTTTTTTTAAGGTTTTGATATACCTTGATGCCCACTGTGAGGTGGCAGTTAACTGGTATGCACCACTTGTAGCTCCCATTTCTAAGGACAGGTAACATAATCTTGCTTTTTTTCTTTCCTAGTTGAAAAGTAAACCTTGTCCTAGAAGGACAAATAATATCCTTTGATTCCACTTCTAGTTAGTGCATCAAGTATTGGGTTTTAAGTGTTATCCTTGAGCTAGTTGTTTCCTTGGGTGGAACTTGGCTGATACTTTGGGTTGATGAAGTCTGGTATTTGGGAAACTAGGTCAAGTCATCTTGTGATTCCATTACTGAGACTCCCTCTGATTCCAAAAACTTTCCTTAACAGAAATATTAGTTGCTCCCTCTAAACATGAACACGAGTTCTAGAGACTTGAAGAACCATGCTTTGAAATTGTACCTATTTTTTTTAACACCCTTTTAAATTATTACCTTAGTAAGGACCAGCTATGATTTCTGTCAAGGCTTTGGGTTCCTATGGAAACTTTAAGATTTAGAAATAGATAGCTATGCCATGGAAATGTGGTGCTCACCATTAAATCTCCAGAAATGTCTGAAACGGCAGAAGGCAGCGTAATTTCCTAGTTCCAAAAGCCTTTCTTGCTTCTCATCCAGAATTCTGGCTATTTCAGAATCTAGGAGAATGAGACATATCTCTTTTGTGAATGGCATGAGTCAGAGGAAGAACTTAGAATATTTTATCATCAGAGGATTTAAGATGAAGTCCTATAAAACATTTTTTTCACATGACTTAATCTTCACAGCAGCCCTGAAAGTTAGAGATCATTAGCTTCATTTATAGAAGTGGATCCTGAGGCTTAGGGAAATTAAGTAATTTGCCCCAGATTAGATAGCTAATAAACTACCAAACTGAGGTCTCTGGGCCATTTTAAATTGTACCATTTTTTTAGAAATGCGAAAAGCATGATTAGTGAGAAAAGATATAAATCAGGTATCAGATAACCAAGTTTGCCAGGGAGATGCTAGCAGTCTTCCTGGCAGTAAGAAAGTGGTTTTCCAAAGTTCCAGTGACAATCTCTTATATCCCACAGGGAACCTCCAGTGTGTGTTCATACTCTGGAAAGACTAACGCCCACTTTTAGGATTTACTTGCCCGTATCAAGGATCTAAGCCCCCAGAGAGTTTTCCTTTCTCTTGGTTTCTAAAGAAAACTGTAAACTGGTTATGGGAAGGTCCAATCTATATTTTAGGAAATACATTTTAAAATCCTTTTCAACAATATGAGCATTGAAGCAAGCAAGGTACCAAATTACCTTTGTAATGTCAACTCTGTATCTGATTGGTTGCACAGTACTATCATTTTTATGATGTCCAAATAGAAAGAATTGGCTTTTTTCTCCTTTGTTCCAAATTCTTGCACCACTTAAGTTTTTAACAGATTTTGAGGGATTTTTTTTCTTGCTGTTTTTTTTTTTTTTAAAGCAGCAATACATTACAGAACCTTTATATTTGCAATAAAAGGTGGAGGAAAGGCGATTGAGTACAAGCACAAAAACACATTTTTATAAAAACTACTTTCAAAGAAATAGCAACAAAGAGCTAGAAACCACTAATGATATGGCAACTATTATTAGCACATGCTCATGCACACGCACATTTTAATGGGGAACAGGGAGGAAGAATGACAGAAAGAAAAATCTTGTAAATAGTGCAAAATTACCAAGAGAAAGTTGCCACTAGCACCAAAGTGAAATGGAAAAAAAACACTATTATACTCAATTGGCAAGGCCCTTTGTCCCTGAGGTTTGTCTGTAAGCCTAGGGGAAAGTCTCCTCTATCTGTCCTTGCACTGATAGGCTCTTGGCTTGTGTGGAACATTCATTTGCTGTTTCCCCATTAGATATTTAAGTTCCCTAATGCAAAATAAACCAATTACAAAACAACAACAACAAAACTACAAAAAAGGACAATGTAGTTAGGCATGCTGAACTAGTCAGTTTGGGGTTCTTAAATGCTTCTTCATTTTCTGTAAATGTTTCAGAACTACATGTACTGTGCCTCTAATAGATTACATAGATGGGAATGATTATTCCATTGAACCACAGCAAGGTGGGGATGAAGATGGTTTTGCCCGAGGGGCCTGGGACTGGAGTTTACTGTGGAAACGTATCCCTCTAAGCCACAAGGAAAAGGCCAAAAGAAAACATAAAACTGAACCTTATCGGTAAAGATTATTACTTTTTTTTTCAATGTTGAATGTTTATCTAAGTACTTTTTTTTTCCTTCCCCATGAACTCATATAAATCTGTGGGTCCATACGTACGTTTCCATTTGATCTTTGCTGCCATCATCAACACAATACAGAACCATTTGCACTGTGCCGCTTATAGATGTCATAAATGGCAACACATATGAAATTGTACCCCAAGGGGGTGGTGATGAAGATGGGTATGCCCGAGGAGCATGGGATTGGAGTATGCTCTGGAAACGGGTGCCTCTGACCTCTCAAGAGAAGAGACTGAGAAAGACAAAAACTGAACCGTATCGGTAATCACTAAATCACTTACATATTTTTCTTTTCTCCAGTTGCTGCTAATTTATTAACTTCTTGGCAAGCTAAACATTTGTTGTTAAACCTGTAGATGCTGTCTCAGATTCTGAAAGAGCTTCTTTCCTTCCACTCTTTCAGAGCTTGGAATTCACATTTGCTCCTTTGTAATTGCTTTTACCCTAAATGCAAGCTCCACTATTCAGTTATACTCTTTCATTGGGGAAAACAAATAATGTGAAACGATAAGGTAAAAAAAGAAAACCTTTACTGTCCTGTTCTATTAGGCTAGATAACAAATTTTGTTCTCTTGATGACAATATCATTCTATAAATTTAAAATACATAAATTACTTACAATCTAAGATTCTAATTTCCACTTTAATGCCTTAGTGTGATGATAACAATGAAAGACACTAGCAAGAGATTTGGGAAGTTCCCTCCTTTTGTTTTATATGCTAACTCTTAAATATTAATTTTGCTCTGGTTAAATCTGATGAATAAAAATGCATCACTTTAGAAGATGTTACATAGACTCCCTATGGCTTCATTCTCAGAAGAGTACTTGATTAAAAGAAAACTCTGTTCCACAATCAGCTTTAGTCTCTTCTTGTGGTTCTTCAAGTAGAACAATTTATGCTACTCTCTTCTTTTTGATCTTTCAATTGGAACATTTTACTGTCTTTCAAAAAAGTGACCCCCAAATGAAATGTTTGCTAAATGTTAGTGCAGCTGTCTCCAAATTGTGTCTGTTTTTATTTTTTGACCCTATGGTTCTGCTTTCAGTTTCTTTCTCCCTGTTATGCTGCTGATAAATGTTAGAACTTTGTTTTGGGAAGATGCTTCAGTGTTGTGGAAATGCTAATGGGATTTGGGCATGTCAGGATATCAAGATACTGAATGGCAAACATAAGGAAATTACAAAACTTTAAGGTTTTTTGGGCATTCTCCAAATTTTCATTTGAAAATTTCTTACCCATAATACTTCAGGAATCTGCTGCTTACCTCCTTAACCTAACAAATAATTCTAGGGGAAAAAAATATAGGGTGCTGACTACATTTATGTTTCTGTTCATCCCATGGGCTGGTAAAGACCTTTTTAAAGCAAGCTAGAAAATTTAAGAATGGTTTCCCTTTAACTAACTCACAAATTTCCACATAGCCCACTAAAACCAAGTTTTCAATTCTGAAAACATAATAACATATTCAAATATTATTTCAAAGTTACCATAACTGATATATTTGTCGCTCAGTTTAAATTTTATTTAGGTGTTTCACATCTGGGATGATGGGACCAATGGGTTAAAGCATTTTCAAATCTGTACTGAGATGGATGGGAATATATCTAAAAGCCAAATGAGCACAGTTGTAGTGGAACAATTTTTAATGACAGTTAAAGTATAACCAAAAATGTGATAGTACTGTGTATTTAGTTAGTATATTTTAAGAAGAAAAGGCATAGAAAAACAATTTTCTCTTGATATGGTTTTTTGTTAGTATGGAAATATTATCTGATTCATTATCTACTCAACAAATATTGAGTACTTACTATGTGCCAGGCTCTGTACATTTTAACAGATATCCTCCCTCATGAAACTTAAAATATAGGAGAGAGATAGAAATTGAACAGATTACTACACACACACACACACACAAAAAAAAAAAAACTGAAACAGCAACTATGATAAGTAGTATGAAAAAAATCACAGGTATGTGGAACTTGGGGAAAGGAAAACTTGATCCAGCTAGAGGCCCCAGAAAGTCATTTCTGACAAAGTGTCATCGAGGCTGAGATTTTAAGGAGGAAATACATTTAGGAGTATAAATAGCATGGTGAAGCCTCTGAGGCAAAGGCATGACCTAGCTAAGCTAAGAGCAGAGTGGCAAAGAGCTGGGTAGAGGGAGCTGGGTGAGCCTAGGCAGTGGGGAGGAATCATGGAGGCCCATGCAAAGGAGTCTGCTTTGGCTGCTGTACGAATAGATTTAGATGGGGACAGAATAGAATAAAGGACACAAGTTCTGGAGATTTGGCACAGTCCAAGCAGTGTTGGTGTGGTCTAGGGTGGTAGCAATGAAGTTGGAAAGAAGTAGACAGATTCAAAATTTTCCAGGTCGAATCAGTATTATTCAGTGATTGGTTTAGTATTAGGTGTGATGACGAAGAAGGTACCTAAAGATATGAAGTTCCCTAAAACTTAAGAATTGTGATGCATTAATAATTATTTTTTCCGTGGGAGTGGAAGGACATACAGCAGTATGAAAATTATTCCACTTTCATTTCTTCCAATAGTAGGAGTGACTTGACCCTAAAAATATACCCAGTCCTTTTTCTCTTGCCTCAAAATGTACCTAATTTAAGATCCATTCAAGAAGGCCCACAGATCACCCTTTTTCATTTTGTACAGTAAATAGTAATGTGGAATTCTCCTGTGTCATTCCTACACTACATTTGCAAACTCTGAATGAACTGTGGCTGTTCTAGTGTGATTTACACTCTTATTTGGCAAGCCCTTGAGCTATAAAATTAAAAAATGACGGACTACTTCCATGGTGTATGGTTTCGTTCATCCCAGAATGACTCATAAATCATTGCAGGAGCAGTTAGCAAACCACGGCTGTGTGGCTCTGTGTTTCAGGAGTGAAAGAAATTTTTATTTTAACTAAAATGAAGGCTTAATTTTTAAATCAACAAAGAACCAAGTCGCCCTCTAATGGTAAAATGACGCAATGCTCCAATTTGTGACAAACTAATTGGGTTTCAGAAATTTTGGTAAATTCTCTAAGGAATTAGGAATAAATTATTTTTGAAGGATTTATAATTTCTTAATGTTTGGCCATCAGTTTTGTCTCTTCTGTGCATATTTAGACTGTATTCCAAAAATCTTGTTTTCTATTGGCAAAAGGATGTTGGGGGTTTGTCTTTAATGGTTATCTCAGTGTTTTTCTTTCTTAGGTCCCCAGCCATGGCTGGTGGATTATTTGCTATTGAACGAGAGTTCTTCTTTGAACTGGGTCTGTATGATCCAGGTCTCCAGATTTGGGGTGGTGAAAACTTTGAGATCTCATACAAGGTAATGTTTCATTTAAATGATGCAGTTTTCTACAGTTACTGACTTTTGTGATTTTTCAGATAAAACTAGTTTCTTTGAAACAAAAATCCTGTAATGCATTTCTCCAAATTATAAGGAATGACTTAACATACGTCTGGGGAAAAATAGAGCAAAATGCAAATTCTAAATTTATATGTTTATAGAGCTTATTTCAAAATTGTGGCCAATAAGCTTCAGAAGTGGAAATAACCCCTTTCCTCACTCCCAGGTTTTCTGTACACTGGAGCCATGTATGATAGTAGCTCTTTGGAGAATCTGCATGTGTTAGAGCCATAGTTGACCATTCACTGACACAGTCACCCTTTATCACTGTAGGACATGATGAGCCAAGACAGAAGCAGATCCCCACAATGACTGTGCATCCTCAGACTGACATTGGAACTGTCTTCCTGCAGCACCTCCCCTGTTGTTGAGGCAGTCCCCGAGCACTAATACCTTCCGCGCTCCAACCCCTACCTCAACACCCACTCCTATCCCTAATTTCCAAAAGAGAGAGAAAACTATATCACAGTTTGAGTTAAACAGGTATTCATTACCTCTTGTCTTAACTGTCCTGTGCTTTAGCACTGTGAGAAATAGAAGAGGAGTAAACTGGTCCTTGTTCTCAAGGAATTTACAGCTGATTTTAATTTCTAATACATTAAAAGGAGGAATGGCATTCACTTGGTGTTATTCATAAATCGAATTGTGCTGGAGGTAGAATTTGAGGCATAATTAGAAAGATGCAAATGATATCAGAGAACTGAGCAGAGAACAAGCGAGGAGGGGAGAGGGAGATCTGAGCAGATAGATTGGGAGAAGGTACAAATGTATGGACACGAAGAGCACATTCAGGAAACAGTGAAGGGCAGTTTGGCAGAAGCAGGCAGCATGAATAAAGACATGTAAGAAGATAAAGTGGGCAAGAGGTTAGGGCCATATTAAAGAGTCTTTAATGCTTAGTTAAGAGATTCTTACCTAACTTATAAGCAGTGGAGAACCATCAAAGATACTAAGCAAGGGAATAACATGACCCAAAGCTGCCCTTCAGCCACAGTAATCTCTTGCAATAAATAAGGATAGAGGTAAGTAGAGAGAGAGTGAAGGTGAAGATGTCAGTTAGGTTATTATAATAATCACCCAAGTAGGAAATATGTTAGCATTGAAAACACAGATGATATTAGGAATGAAGAATGTGCATTGTTTTGCAAGGTTATATTGAGAAAAAGTCTCTAAGGACTGTAAGCACACAGGAAGAGACCCCCTTAGCAGTTTTTTTTGTTATATTCCCATTGCCTTCCTTGTTATTATAAGTTTTTTAAATGATCAATTATTTTAGGATTTGTTCAGCTTATGAATTCTGTGTGGACATTGTATCTAATTTAGATTTAAGATTTATACTTAGAAGACAAGTTTTTAATTATAATGCATCTTTGCATTATAAACAACATGTGTTGTCTCTTGATAGATATGGCAGTGTGGCGGCAAATTATTGTTTGTCCCTTGTTCTCGTGTTGGACACATCTACCGTCTTGAGGGCTGGCAAGGAAATCCTCCACCCCTCTATGTTGGGTCTTCTCCAACTCTAAAGGTGAGTAACGAGAGAAGGATAGGATAGGATACAATAGAGAACTAACATTTACAGACCACATGCTATTATACTCAATTAACAAATATCATCTCATTAAATATGGGGTACACCTCCTAAACAGTCATCCTGGTTCTCACCTTTAACTTAGGTTAGGCTTACTCTAATGAAATCTTATTATTCTGTAAGATTATTCACTGTACCCCATTCTTTTTTAATTGAAAAGTAAAAAGTGTATATATTTATGCTGTAGAACTTAATGTTTTGATTCATATACATTGTGCATTGAATAAATTAAGCTATTTAACGTTCATTACATAGCATATTTATCACTTTTTTGTGGTGAGAACACTAAAATTGATTTTCATGTGTACAGTATATTGTTATCAACTATAGTAACCATAATATACAATAGATTTCTTGAACTTATTCCTCCTGTCAAACTGAAATTTTGTGTCTTTTGTCCAACATCTCCCCAATTTTCCTACCTACTTCAGACTTGATAGCTACTCTATTTCTATTTCAACCTTGATAGCCACTCTATTTTACATTTTTTTTTTTTTTACTCCACATAGAGTGAAATTATGCAGTATTTGTCTCTCTGTGCCTGGTTTATTTCACTTTATATAATGATCTCCATGTTGTTGCAGTTGACATGATTTCCTTAGTTTTAAAGGCTGAATATTCCATTGTATATGTCACACTTTCTTTATCTTTATCAGTTGATGGACACTTAGATTGATTTCATGTCTTGACTGTTATGAATAATTCTCAAATGAACACTAGGTACTACTCCTGATGTAAAACAGAAGTTAGCAACTGTGGTCCAGAGACCAAATCTAACCCATTTATAAAGTTATGTTGGAGTTCAGTCCCATTAATGTATTTACATATCATCTGACTACCTTCACCCTATACTAGCAGAATTGAGTAGTTGCCACAGAGATTATTTGGCCCACAGAGACAAAGATACTTACTATCTGACCCTTTATAGAGAAAATTTGCTGACATATAGTACAGAAAATCAAGGGATAGAACGAATAAATGTCATTTCATATATATTCATGCAAACATTCATTCTTTCTATATGAAACCTTAGAAGTTAAGACAACGTCAGCTTATTACTCAATTTGAGGAAGTAACATTACAACATCACTTATTTTTTTTCATAGTTGCTTTTCCTTACCATTTTATTGCTTTATAATTGTTTTTCCTTAATTTGGGACTATGGTAAAATGATTCAATTCTGGTTGTTAAAAAAATAAAAATAAAACACATTTTTATCAGGGGCGGGAGTTGTGGCTCAGTGGTAGAGCACTTGCCTAGCATGTGTGAGGCACTGGGTTTGATTTTCAGCACCACATTTAATAAATGAATAAAATAAAGGTTCATCAATATCTTTAAAAAATTTTAAATATGTTTTATCAAACAGAGCTATTTTTTCATGATGGTTTCTAAAATGAGATTTTCCCCTATGCATACCAGTTGTGTGGTTTAACAGAAAGAGATTGTTCTGGGAGAAGGAGTACCAGTGCTCAGCCAAATTCTCAGGAATCCTCTGGGTTTCATTTTCTTCCTCTCTCGCCAGGAGAGAATACATTGACTTAAAATAAATGATCTTGATAGTAGGGGATAGGAAAGGTAGCAGAATACAACAGTCACTAATATGCCATTATGTAAAAATGTGAGTATGTAACAGAAGTGAGTCTGTATTATGTATTTGGGGAGTTCAAAACCCAATTGAGTCGATTGTATGAAAGATGATATGTCTTGAGCTCTGTAATGTTTTGAACAACCAATAAAAAAAAAAAAGAAGGAAAAAAAAAAATAAATGATCTTCAATTCAGGGATAGTATATTCTATGTACCTCAGTTTTTAGTTAAACATACATGACATTTTTTATCTTGGCAAATGACATATTGGACTCATTAGCTCACTTGAATTCTTTGGTTTAATTAAATGCCAGGTTCTGTAGAAATGAGGTTGTTATATGTTGATCATACTTCATGTATCTAAGATGGTCTATTTATTCCATTACAATTATTTTCAGTTTTCAAAATGATATTAATTTTCTTTTTCACAGAATTATGTTAGAGTGGTAGAGGTTTGGTGGGATGAGTATAAAGACTACTTCTATGCTAGTCGTCCTGAATCAAAGGCATTACCATATGGGGATATATCTGAGCTGAAAAAATTTCGAGAAGATCACAACTGCAAAAGCTTCAAATGGTTCATGGAAGAAATAGCTTATGACATCACCTCACACTACCCTTTGCCACCCAAAAATGTTGACTGGGGAGAAGTAAGTATCAACCAATATTCAGATCACAAAGTATGTGTGTTTGGGGTCTGCATTTGGGAAAAAGGCAAAGAGAGATGAAAATGTGTGAGTTAAAGAAAAGAATTTGGAGGAAAAAGTTTGGCTAAAAACTGACTGGAAACATCTAACAGCTTACCAGTCAACACCCATAGCTACCCTGAGATGTCTCTTCCCAGCCTCTGCACGTGTGGCTGCCCTGCCTAGAACACTGTGCCTCTTCTTCTCCATCTCCTGCCACTTCCCTGTCCCTCACTTCAATTCCCTTTCTTGACTGTTATCTTATTTTTCCCAACTTAGAGATGATGAATACTGAGAATAATTTCTTATTCTTACCCACTTCATCAGAAAGGCTTAGCTCTGTGATCTTTCCATGGGTTCTCCCAACACACAAAATTGCCTATCCCCCAGCCATTCTTAAGTACTTCAGGACTTCCAGCCCCAGTGTGCTATAATAAACTAATGCAGGGACCCAATATATAATGGGCACTTAGACAGTGCTTGTCAAATAAATTAATAATGATAATTAAAAACTATTAAAATCAACCAGACATTAATGCTTGTTGTCATTTCTGTTTCTTCAGACTTGTCTTTTTAACCTCATTTCTGATTGTACTCACCCAAGTACCTTATATTGCTGCCTCACAGTTACCTTAAAAGTATCGTGAACTTTCAAGTCTATGTGCCCATGCTTATTTATGCATTCTGCAAATATTGGTTGAGGGCCTACTGTGTGTCAATCATTCTTCGAGACAGAAAACCAGACAAGCAAGGCCCTTCCCTTCAGTGAACTTGTGGATAGAGACACCAAAACAAAATAGGAAAACAAAAAATAAAGATAATTGAGAGAGGTGGTGAGAGCTACAAAAGGAAATAAACTTGGGAGGCTGTCAGGAGGAGTTGGGGGACAGGGTGAGGAAGGCCTCTCTGAGGAAGTACAATTAATCTGAGATCTGAATGTTAAAGAGCAAGCACATCAGAGAGCCAGGGGAGAGTGTTACAGGTAAAGAAAATGTTGAGTTCCAAGGTTCCAGGTCAGGAAATGCTTTGCATGTTTGGTAAGCAGAAAAGAGGAGATTAAATGAGACAGAAGTGGCAGGCATGTGAGAAGGAAGGCCTATATCCCAAGGGTGGTGAGAAGCCAGGGAGGATTTTAAACAAAAAGCTAATATGATTTGATTCATAGTTTATTTTTAATTACCCTGCTTGGAAATGTAGAGTAGAAAGAAATAAGGGTGTCTATGAGGAAATTGAACTATTTTGTTGGTAGTTCATTTCAATACCTCCTCCTACCACACCTCTCTCTCCTGTACTCTTATTTCATCTCTCCAGTTACAGCAAATTGTGTTTGACTCCCAAGTGAAGCATAAGCTTTTGGGAGTTCAGACCACATTTTGGCTATCTTTTAATCTCTCAGAATTTCTTCTCTGTGAGAGGAATGAATTATACTGATCTTATCTAGTCTCATGGCTTTAGCACTATCATTCTGTTGATGATTCTCAGATATGTATCTTCAACTCAAATCTCTCTCCTAGGACCCAGACAAGTATATTCAACTGTGTACTTGATGTCTCCACTTGAATATCTAGCAGACATTCCAAACTCAATATACTTAAAATTGAACTCCATCTCTCCTTCCCCACCCCATCTCTGCTGATTGATTGTTCAAGCCAAAAACTTTAAACTCTTCTTTGAATCCTTGTACACTTCACATCCAGTTCCAGAATGTGATCCTTTCTTAATTTGGTCTAAGTCACCATCATCTCTGACCAATACTAAATTTTTGGACTTCCTAGAGCCTGTTCTAAACTGCAAGAACTCAGGGTGAGCCTTTTGAAATGCAAGTCAAATCTCCCCTCTGTTGGAAAACCTGCAGTCACACCCCATTCTCTCAGGCAGAGGCAACCAACCTCCTCATTGATGGCCAAGGCCTGCACCTCTTGCCCTATTTCTCTCGCCTCACCTGCTCTACGCCCTCCACTCCACTCCAGTCCCATTGGCCTTGCTGGTCCTCAGCCTTCCTCAGACGTACTCCTGCCTTTGCTGTTCCCTCTGCCCACACTGCTTTCTTTTATACATCTGCAGACTTGTCTTAACTTGTGCACCTCCTTCAAGTTTGTACTCTTGTCACCCTCTCAATGAGACTTACCATGTAGTACACCCCTCAGTTCGATAGTCCTTTCCCCACTTAACTTGCTGTTCTTTTCTCTTTTTTTCCCCATGGCACTTATCCGTAATTAACATAATAATTTGACTATTATGGTGTTTTTGTTTTGTTTTTGCATGTAGTCTCTTTCCTTCCCTAGAAATGTGAGTCTGTTTTATTCACTGGAGTAGCAAACCTTACAACATGCTTGACACACAATAGGTATTTACTTAGTATTTGATGAATGAGTAAATGCATGAATAGATGAGTGAATGGATGAATGGATGGATAGCATTTTCTGTCCTCCTTTTACTATCTGATTTCTAAATTCATTTTCATTTCAACTCTCCCCATTCTGCCCTTTACACTTCATTTCTCAGCATTTCATGAACATTACAGGGTAAAACCCTGTCTATTCAAAAGATGTCTTTGTGACATGAAAGTAGAAGGGGGACTATTAGGGATGGACTGGGAGAGGGTCCCAGGAGAATTTAAGAGGGTAACAGGGTAGATATGATTGAAGTATATTATATGCATGTATGAAAATATCACAAAGAAACCCATTATTTTGTACAGTTGCACTAATAATTATAATAAAAAATACCACTTGGGCAGTCTTCAGAGCTCCTCAGGCAGGGTGAGAGACTGCTTCCTCCAGATCCTCCCTACAGGCTGACACTTAGCCCTGTATCCCCTTACAGACTGTGAGGGTATGGAGGACCCTGACTTACACATCTTTGTATCTTCAAAAGCTCTTTCTTCATAGTACATAGTAAATATTTGCTGAATGAATCAATGTAACTTTTTATTCAAATACTATAGTGATGCATAATTGAGATAAATATATAGTATTTCCAAAGTAGTTATTTTGATACAAAGTTCCATTCCACAGATGGAAATCTGTGTTTGCTTTTCATCTATATTATCCATAATTAGAGAAAAACCTCACTGCCTGGCCTCTGTGCCATGATGTTTGCCTAGAGACTCCTGGAGACAACTAGGAAAAATAGTGCCCCAAGCTATCTGTGAGTTCTTACAAATCCACTTCTGCTCTTAATTCCTAGGGCCAGTGTCTGTTGCCACTGTGGTAAGGTAGCTTTATTCTCTTTGTTTCTCATTCGTGTGAATTGTTATGATTCTGAAATTGTACTTATGGTATCATTTTATTTTTTCCCCCTGTGGTATTTTAAGGCCTGTACCCTTACTTGAGCTCATCCCAGTGTTGACTTCAAGATCAGAATTTCAAAGATGACTGGTTTGCTCAAAACGACTTAAAGACTGACAATGCCATAATAACCTGGCAATAGACACCCCCAGATTTCCCTTGCAAATTGCAATATTTAACATGAAAATCTTTTACTCTGATATTAGGGCTTATTAAAGAACTAAAGCATTTCTTGCTTTTTGGTCCTTTGTTTATATTTTTAGATCAGAGGCTTTGAAACTGCTTACTGCATTGATAGCATGGGAAAAACAAATGGAGGTATTGTTGAACTTGGACCCTGCCACAGGATGGGAGGAAATCAGGTACATCACCTTCTTCTGCATATATATTGGTCAGCATTAAGAGATGCAGGGTTTATTGATCACAGGATTTAGTTTTGTTTTCAGTTTGATTTTTGTTTTCTCCTGTCCAAAGATCAAACCTAGGGTTTCATGTATACTAGGAGAACGCTCCACCACTGAGCTGCATCCCCAAGCCCAGTATTTTTGTTTTGATAAAATAAAACATTCTTTAAAGAATTGACAGTGTTAAAACATTCACTTAAGTAAGGGAATAATAGCAGTCTTGGACATAACAAGCAGAATCTAGGAGTGATGTCTGTATGTAAGAGATTAAAATATTTTCTGAGTAGGTACTTGTCATTTCAATAAAGTAGAGTATTACTGACAGTAATGTATTTTACTAATATATTTTCTTACTACCTTATTTGGGTATTTTTCTTATGTCTAATTTAGATTATTAAATATTATCAGGTCTTTACAATTTTTAATTTTCTCACATGATAATACATAATAAGTATGTGTTAATGACCCATTCTGTATTTTAGAGGCTAAAGAACACAATTGTTTAAGTGTTTACAGAGATCTTCACCAACTTCAGCCTGCGGAATAACAGTTCCAAACACACAAAACTATAAAACAATAAGTTAGTTATTCAGCTTAATTATAGGAATTTAATTTCTTCCTTTCTTCCTTGCTTCCCTCCCTCTTCTCCCTTTCCTCCCTTTCTTCCTTTTTTTTTTCTTCTTTTTTTTTGTAAAGTGCATATGAGTAGGGAAGTTGCCTCTGTTATTTGTTTCCTTTTTTTTTTCTTCTTAATAGCTTTTCCGAATCAATGAAGCAAATCAGCTTATGCAATATGACCAGTGTTTGGCAAAAGGGCCTGATGGAACAAAAGTTATGATTATGCACTGTAATCTAAATGAATTTAAGGAATGGCAGTACTTCAAGGTATTGTTTCAACTCTTAAAATATTGTTTTTATGCTGTTTGATTTTCAATAGCAACTAGCATGGAATTTAGATGAATAAATCTTAAAACCTACATACAAATTGACTTGCATTTTCCTCTCATTTAGTCATTTGAACAGGTTCTCCTGAGTACTGGGTGAATTATTGTTTTATAATGAGGCATCACTTTTATTCTCTGATATAATATTGTCTTATAATGAGGTCACAGTGATGTTCATGAAAACCTAACTGCTATAACTAAGGAAAATCAGTATTCTAGAAGTAATCCTCACTATTGTTCTAGGCTCAAAGTTGGATTTTTAAAATCTAAATGAGTCATTCACTAAAGTAAAATGTATTAATACCATAAAAAATGTGTGGTTAGTATTTCATGTCGTCCAGCAGGTGGAGATAGAGACAAACATATAAAACTAGGATGCTTAAGCCTTCTCTGCTTCCTTATCATTGTTTGCTAATTAAAAACAACAGGATAAATGTATCTGTTTGCTTGTATTAAAGGTCGGATTTATTCACATGACATTTCTGGGACAGTTTTTCTGTTTCAGCTGTGTCTGTTTAATGCTCTAGGACAAGGTGAGGATCAAACATAAATTATGAATAATCAAAGTGAGTTATGGATTGTTTTCACAATCTAGATTTGACTACAATAAACCAATTTATTATGAGATAAAACATTTGGAATGCTTTTTCAAACTGAAAGAACATGGCAACACTCAACTTTACTCATCTAATATTTGTTATCATACCCCATCTGTCGTGCAAGCACTTATTTGCTATGTAGTAATAATATTATGACCCATCTTAATAATTCCCTGTTATCATCTTTCATAGATAATAAAACAAACATGGTAAATATGTGTAAATTACTCTTTTCCCTTATAACAAGTTAAGAAAAAGATTAACAAACCATGAAGAACAGAGCATTTATTTTCATAAAGAAAAATGAATAGCAGTAAATGGTAGAGATCAGTGAGAACAATATTAGTATAATAGTAGAAGAAGCCTAGTAGAACAGAAATAACCATCAAAAAGTAATGGAGAGGGGTGGGGAGTGTGGCTCAGTGGTAGAGCAGAGCCCTGGGCTCATTCCTCAACACCATTAAAAAAAAAGTGATGGATAAAAAATGGAATATATATTGTTTTAGATATTTTAAAGGAGACTGAATTAAATGCACTTTTGTACATCAGACTCTACTAAGTCTTTGCTATAATGTTCAGTGACACAATAGATGGTCTGTGAGTTTGAAAAATAGCCACACACTATGCTATAATGTCAGAGAAGAAAAATTCAGTAATAAAAATAAGCAAAATGTCATCAGAGTGCAAAGGAGAGATTAATAGAAGTAATTATTTCTGACAATTTTCACAAAGGAAGTATTATTGCACCGGATCGGAAATATACAAAAAGCTTCCCATGGAAATCCAAGTGTGGTGGTACTTACCTGTAATTCTAGAGACTCAGAAAACTGTGGCAGTAGGATTCCAAATTAAAGGGGAGCCTCAGCTACTTAGTAAGACTAAGCAACTTAGTAAGACCCTCTCTCAAAATAAAAAAGTAGAAAGGTCTGGGGTTGTGGCTCAGTGATAAAGTGACCCTGGATTCAGTCCCCAAACCCCACTTCCCAAAAGAAAAACTCTTCCCATGGAAGATAAATAAGAAAGGTAGATGTGCAGAGGTATGCCATCAAAATATATAGGAAATTCTGAGAATCTCATTTTGTTTGGTTTCCGTAAATTATGCACTATCAGAAAGAACATTGAACTTTATTTTGTCAGTTTTGGAGAGTGATTGAGATTATTTGAGAAAGATAATAATAGGAAACAATGGATACTTTCAGGAAAATAATCCTGAAAAATACTGCAAGATATGAACTGATGGAGCAAGATCAGCTCCAGCAGCAATTCTCAAACTTTCTGATCTCTGGACTTTCTTTACAATCTTCAAAATTATTGAAACTCCCTCTCAAACAGCTTTTGTTTAGGTAGATTATCACTAATAATATTTCCAGCATTAGAAATTAAATCTGAGAAATTTGTAAAATTTTTTGTTTTAAGTCATGTAAAAGTAAGACTAATCACCTTATTACATGGTAATATAAATACCATATTTTAAATGAAAAATATACACACATGTAAATAGAAGAATATTATAGTCTAGAGTTTTGTAAATCCCTTTAATGTCTGGTTTATAGAAGGCAGCTAGATTCATATTGCTTCTGTATTCAAATGAAATTTGTTAAGTTGACATACAAGAAGAAAATCCTGCCACACACACAAATATGCAGTTTGAGAGACAGGGATAATTTAATAATCTTTTCAGAATATTGTGATTGTTCTTTGTTACTGCACTGCAATTCAATAATTGATAGTTAGAAAGTTATTGACAATGTAGAATCTGAAATCATATCACTGAAATTTTGTTGTGTTTTAAACATTAAAATCCATTGGTCTTCCTTACGTTCTTTTAAACAAGGGATTAATTTTATTTTCCCACAGGATCTTTTTATATATATATGTAAAAAGATACAACACATCACAACCTTGCAATCTTCCAGCATGACCTGTTTCTACAAGAAGCATGCCAGACCATAAGACTTTGTAGCAGAGTCTTTAAGAGCATTCAGTTGAGAAAAATAGAAAAGGCAGATCTCAGGGAAGCCTGGGCAAGCCCAAAGGCTGAGCTGCATTCTGAACTCTAAAGCAGTCCTTATCTTTTCAGATCTTTCTATGTTTTCTTATTCACAACATTCCCACTGGAGTGTTCATACTCTTCCTCAGTGTCAGGCTGCCATCTTTCTGAAGCCTTCTGCAGTTTCAGCTTTGCCCACAGGGAGCCAGCATCTGCAATCTGTGTCACATTAGCAAAGTGGGCATTGTTTAGGGTGCCCAAATACCTTATTCCATGGGCATGATGCCATTCACAAAGTGCCCCTGAAAGGCCTTGAAATTGAATCTTTTATCCATATGAGCTTTAAACATCATGCATTGCTCACTGAGAAACAATTTTTACTGTTACATAAATCTTTCAAATGTTAATACATTTCATTGTACAATGTCTAAAAATCACAAATATAACCACTACTGGTTTCATCAAAAAGGTCTTTTTGTGAAGCTGTCAGTTTCTCATGGTGATGGATACAGGTTTTCCAAAACTCAAGTTTTGCTTGCAGACTCAAATTTTATCAATTACAACAGACACTGTCAGGTTTTTTTTTTTCTTCTTCTTCTTCCTTGAAGTGACAGGTTCACTTCAGTTTTGAGAAAATCTCTACCCATTACCCAAGTTTGGATAATCATAGTTTGTTGATGAATCATTCTTTCAAGTAACAGTGACATTTCATTAAAAAAAAAACAAAACAAAACAGGTAGTTCATCCCTCACATCAGTTATACAAGTGCTTGTCCAGAAAATACCATTGTACTTTATTGTGTAGAAATATTTGATACATACTTCCCATTCCATCTCTTGGAGTAGTTTTGAACAATAGACTTGAGGTTCAAGATTTAATAAGATTAATAAGTGTTAATCACTTAATCAAAGCAATTCTTAAACAAAACCAAGATTGGTTTTTTAACTGTATGTGGTAGTGAAAAATATGAGTACTAGCATATTTGGGTGTCATTGCTTGATTTATGCTAAGGCTCCAGTGGTTTTACTCCATTGCTTTTATTCCAATAGTGTAAATGTCAATACATTGAAAAGGTAAATGAGTTCTTAGTATTCTGAAAATAGTTTTCACCTTACAGATCTAATCTTAGATAGTCTGCAGACCACACTTTGAGAAACACTGAGTTATAGTAAAACAACTTACAACATATGATGAAAAGTAATATAAGGTATAGTCAGTAGGGATGAGAAGGAAAAAATATAAACCAGAAACATTACAAATATCAGTTCTTGATAACTGGTGTAACACAAACAAATGAAGAAAAGTGCAGTATTTCCTGAGGACTGGAAAGTGGTATTGTCATTTTTGCCCAGAATAGGAACTCAAAGTAGTAGACTTAAGGGTAAAGATGATGAATTTAGGATTGTACACATTGAATTTGATGTACCAGCAATATGTTAAGACTTAACAGACAATAAAAGGACCTAGAAAACTGACAAGAAAAATCCAAAGTCTGAGGTGTGGTAGGCTTGAAAGATTTCCTTATGAAAGCCAGATATTGACTGCTAATAGCAGGGCTATCAAAAGAGTCCAAATTTAAAACTCATTTTTCCTTATTGTGTTTTCCAGAACCTGCACAGATTTACTCACATTCCTTCAGGAAAGTGCTTGGATCGCTCCGAGGTCCTACATCAAGTGTTCATCTCTAATTGTGACTCTAGTAAAATGACTCAAAAGTGGGAAATGAATAATATCCACAGTGTTTAGAAAGAATAAAAGAAACCAATAATCTACCTACTGACAAGTAAATTTATACAGGACTGAAAACCGCCTGAAACCTGCTGCAACAATTATTATTAACTCTGTACAGCTCCAAACCTGGAACCTCCTGATCAGTTTGAAGGACATCGATAAACTGTGATTTTACAATAACATTATCATCTGCAGTTACTGTTTACAAAACTGCTTTTACCTTAAACTTTGTAGATGTTTACATCTTTTTTGTTTTGTTTTAAGATGATGTTGGTAATTTGTGCCTTTAACTCTGTTTTGTGGGAACAGAGTTAAAAGCATGTCGTCTTCTTTGGGATTACACTCAGGGGTCTGAAAGGCAGTTTGATTTTTTTTTTAAACACTTGAAAAAAGGTTGTAGTAACCAGACTTTCATATATAACTTGGTGATTATCAACCTCTTGTGTCTTTATTTAATTTTACATCTTTTTGAAGCACTGCCACAGGTTATTAGCCAAGGTGGCCTTCCTTCACAGTCATGCTGCTTTTTTGAAAGGTGAATTTCAACACATTTAGTGCCTCTTTCATTTCTCAGTATATTTTTCAAGACCTTTTGATGAAATTTATAGGATGGTAATGATGGAATGAATTGTCACCTGTATCAGGAATACTTAGACTTCTCAGAAATGAATTTGTGTGCTGCCATTTGCTATGAAGTTGAATGTTATGTGGCTTGAGTAAGAAATGATGATATGTAACATCTTAAGGCTTTAGTACATGGGGTTTGAAAATTGTGTGGCATTAACTCCCACTCAGACCTGCTGGCATTCTCAGTGCCATCTGTCCATGTCAACTCTTAGGGTAGCAAAGGGATCTTCCAACTAGAGAAAAATTGTACTCCTACATTTAGGATTTACTTTTCCCCGGTACCTGTTGATACAGAAAGCTATAAATAAATCTTAAGTTTTGAAACTTGGGCAGGGCGGGGGATACCCAAAATAATAAAACACTGCTATAATAAACACGTCAAAGGTTCATTCTGGCTGAGGTAAGAATTTATAAGCCCTTTTTAGATAAGCCTTATAAAACTCCTGTGCATTACATCCTAAGTTGTGTAACCTATGAAACCAAGAGTGAATTGATATTTCATTTATCTTCATCCAAATGAAATTCCCTATATATATTTTAAATTAAATTACTAAGAATACCACTCATTAACAATTGTGGACTACTTTCTGTTGAATCGGGTATTAATTCTCTTTTATTTCTTAATTTCTTTTTTAGTAAGTGTATTTTTATTAGCATTTTTCCAGTGAAAAGATTTGCTTAGGTTTAAACATTTATTAGGACAGTACCTACTAAAGGAGAACCAAATACTGCAAATAGTCTATTCAATTTTGATGTCTAAATAAAGTCTTTTATTACCCAAAAGATTAAAATGCCTAGGTTGGGTGCTTAAAAAATGTGATAAGGTGGAAAATGGCAAGTAAATTAAGCATTTTTGATCTGTAATCATGGTATCATTACAGTGAAAGGAATTAAAAAACTACTGCCATGGGGAAATATTTTTAAAGCCTAAAAAAGAAAAGAATCCTACATTTGTTTAAAAGAAAAGCCTACGTATTTGTTTCATCCAAACTTAGTTCTTAAATTTGGAGAGTAAAAGTTAAACATCCTAAACAGTTTTATTCAAAATTTTGAGTTTTCAGTTTGTATTTTGCTACTGATCTATGGTCAGCCATTTTAATCTTAATCCATTTCTAGGGATATTTAAAAAGAAATACATTTATATGCTTATATAATTGCAAAAACAACTATAAAAAAGAAACCAAGAGAGAATTGAATTGGTACTTTAATTACTTTTGTGTTGGCAAATAGGCCCCATTTTCCATGTTGAATAGATTATAACCTTGTTATCTATGCATAGGCCTAAGAAAGGTGGCACATGAACTGTGCATGTAATTTTATGGGTAAATTAAATGTTTTTTTTTGTGCAATTCATTAAAAGAAGATACTCTATGAACATGATTCTATATATTGAAATCAGAAACCTTACCAAACGTGAAAAACATCAGAAGCTGCTGCCATAATGACTATTTTCTACTGTAGGCTGCTTTGGAAATAATTCTCATATCCTTGCTTTGTAAGTTGATAATATCACTATGCATTTCTACACATTTTATAAATTTGATTTATGCAGATTTTGATACACTGTATGTTTCTGTAGAAATTGTACAAATATTCAAAATTTTATTAGGGTAAATTTGAGAAGTTTATGTATATCCTAATTCTGGGTTGCTTGTTTTTTAGGTGAGAAAAAAATAAAATATTGTATTTTAACCCATGGTGTTTTTCAGTATTTGTAATCATTTCTAAATCTACACATTTTAAAGAATTAGTTTAATTTACAAGATATACTGTTTATAGCTAAAATATTACAAACCATAGTTACTAGTTGACTTTGTGCTTGAGTGTTGAGTTAGAATTCTGCTGCATGTGCTTAGAATACTCAGCGCTTACCTGTCTATAGGAAGGAAGCAAATTTTTTTTTAAATTTACATATTACAAGTTTTATAATCATCCAAATGTTGCAAATATAAAGGTTTCTTTTTACAATTCTAGTTACCTGTGAATGGCAATTTTTTAAGTCACCTATCCAATTATAAAGTATAATCCCAGTAAGCTATATCTTTCTTGGTAATGTATTCTATATAATTGCCTATTGAAAGTGAAAGTGTCTTTAAATCAAAATTCTTACAGATCAAGTGAGTAGAGAAAACCAAAGAGAAGGGAAGCATACAAGAATGAAATTAGAAATAATGCATAAGACCTTGTGGTGCAAAACATGCCATCCCAAGAGAAAACATGGCTGCTAACTGATTCAAGTAAGTAGCTTTGTTGACTTGGGACCTTCCAACTCATTTACCTGTTTCATGTCTTTCAATTCTTCGCTGCTGTAGGGATAGGCTAGGAAATTTGAAAAGTGACATTACTAGACTGGAATAAATGGAGACTCACTTACTTTATAAGATAGTCTCTTACAGCAATCTTGGAATATATTTTGTTTCCAGGGAAAATGTAATTGGAAAAGAATCCACCTGTAATTCAATGTAATTCAAAAACATGACAGCTACCGGACCTGAGCCAGATATTTAATAGTAGTTTAGGAATATGAAAATCAGTCCATGTGAAAGCACTTTTTAAAAATATAAAGCACTAAGAAAATATTATTCATTAGAATCAATCTGTGTGAAAATGGACAAAATTGGAATGGATTTTGAGGACCATTATCCCTGCAAGTGGAGAGTAAAGAAAGGACTGTTTCTAAATTAGATTCAATAATTGCTCTACAACTCTCATTTTTAAGATTTTGAAATGCTCATAGTTGAGGTTAGTAGATTTCAACTTCTGAGTACATTACACCTGGTTCAGTACATCTGAACAGAAGTGTGACAGAGGGCTCCTTAATTTTTACAGTATAGTCTGCTCATCTGAATGGTAGTATAATATAGTTTAATAGGGTGGACTCCAAAGTCTGACCGTTTGTATTCGAATCCCTGTTCCACTACAAAATACTTGGCTGAGTTATTTAACCTCCTTACTAACAGTTTGCTTGTTTGTAAAATGAGGGAAATAATAGTGCCTATTTTAGAGGGTTGTTATTAGTATTAAATGAGTTAATATAAAGTTCATATAAAGTTCCTGGAATACAGTCAAGGTAATATGTTAACTATTATTATCTGGTTTCAAGTCTTAAAATCTGTCTTTAATCAGAATAAGAAGATGGCTACACTGCAGACCTCTAGAAAAGCTATGTGTGTATGCCTGTGTTTCAAAATCATATGTTATATATCATTACCCCTACTTTATAAGTGAAAATTAACCTCAAAAGTTAAAGAAACTAGAGGTAAGATGGTTTCCAAAAGAAATTACTCTCAGCCTCATGTCATTCACATGATAAGCAGAAAGTAGTTTTCAGTGGTCCAATTCAACTCTTAGATAGAACCAAGTGCCATCTTGAAAGTTGTCTTAAGATACTGTGCCCTTTAAATTATCTTTAAATGAAATTTCACTTGGGATTTTAATATGGGTAAATAAGATGGGCTCAGCAGTGCTCACAAGTAATCCCAACAACTCTGAAGTAAGTCAAAGCCAGCCTCAGCAACTTAGTGGGACTCCGCTGCCTCAAAATAATAATCTTTTTTAAAGGTCCGAGAATGTAGCTCAGTGGCAAAGCACCCCTGGGTTCAATCCTCAGTATTAAAAAAAAAAAAAAATGGGTAATCATACTCCAAATTAATTTAGATTAATTTAAGATTAAATCAAAACTTTTTTTATTTTTACTGGGCATGGAATCTATTGAGCTACATCCCCAGTCCTTTTTACTTCTTTGAGGCAGGGTCTAAGTTGCTGAGGCAGGCCTTAAACTCATGATTCGCTTGCTTTAACCTCTTGAGTCTTTAGGATTACAAGTGTGTGCCACACCATGGTGGACTCAAAACTAAATAGTAGAAAATAATGACATAGTAATTGGTATTGACATTACCCTGGCTATTCTAAACAACTCTAAAACTGGACAAAATATATAGGGGCAACTGCTTTTAGGAATTGGTTTACAGACAAACTATTTTTAAAAAGGGAAATGGGGTGAAACCCAGGTTCACTATGTCTAAGAGAACTTTCTCCACCGTGGTATAACAAATGGATAATGGAGCTCAAGAATGATACTGCTGAGCTAAGCAAGAAAAGTGGGGGTTTGGGGTTGTTAAAGCTGATGGAATTTCTCAGGGAAGTTAGTGAAGGTGAGTCCTTTTTGTGTATTAACTGACTTGTACAGGAATTTTATAGTGCTGTCATTTGTAATAGCAAAATAATAAATAACAACCTGAATACCCATTGAAAGGAGAATGGATGAATTATGATAAAACAGAAACATTACAATGATGAACATGAATGGACTAGATATAAACAGTCTTAGTAATACTATGTTAAGTGAAAAAGGCAATTCCTCAAGTACTCCATTCAGCACTCTTTATAAATACTAAGTGCTAAAATTAAATATACAGTAAGTTGTATGTTTATACAAGAGGTTAAATAATTGTAAGTTCACAAATTTCATGTTGGGGTTAAGGACATAAATCCTGTACTTGATATCCCCAGAACTCTGTTGTAGGAATTTCTATTTGATGCTGAGAAAAACTCTTAAAGAACGTCTTCCATGGTTATTTTTCCTACCCACATTGACGGACAAAAATCTCAGAAGTGAATCTAATTACTCTATCATACATCTATACATTGTGTGTGTATACATACACACACATGTACAAAAAAATGTATATATATATATATATACACATAGGTATATTCATATAGATGTCTGTAGATAGATGGATAGAACCATCAATTGATTGATCTACTTGTTTGAGCTAAATAGTGGCTGTCCACTTTGCCCTGGGCATTATATGCTTACAAATATGCATAGAACACTTTGTGACACTAGGGTATAGCAGTATAAAAATTTTTAATAAATTTCTATAAAATAAAAATTTTATTTTTCCAAGAGTTTTCTTGTATGCTCCTTAGGTTCACCACATACAAGCTTTTTCCTGGTCTAAGTTTTTGTTTCCTATAAGTAAATATCCTGTCTCTAAAAATGCCATCATCTCATGAGGAACTCTCATGAAGAACTAATCCAAAAATGGCTTGCTTGTGTGTGTACACAAGCGTCCACACCAAACTTTACACCCAGGGCTTTGGGTGCTAAGCAAGTGCTCTACCACTGAGCTATACCCCCAACTCCCTAAAAATGGCTTATTTCTAAAAGGTTATTTTCTTTTTAAAAGGAGCTTCTGCAGTGGCATAATAGCTCCTTTAATTTTCTTGCTATTTCCCAAGAAATAAAATCATTTCTAGTGATACATGTAATAATGGGAAGTCAGATTTAGGATACTGTTGTATTTATACTATTGTAAGATAAGCTATTTACTATTCATCGAAAACGATGCTGTTAAAAGGCAAAATATTTTTTAAAGCATACTATTAATTCACCAAGTTTGCAGTATGTGCTTTGATGTATAAAGGACCATAGGGTCTTCTAGCCCAGTGCCCTATTACAAGTTAAAAGACCAAAACCAGTGGCTGACATTGGGGAAGAAATAAATCTGAGACTTTATCTCAGTCTTTGCACTCATTTCAGGAGGACCAAATATTTAAATTTTAAAAAAGAAAAACCAAAGTTTTTGTTGTTGTTGTAATCTGAATAGGAAAGAACTCTGAAAACCATGAAAGAACTGAAACATTTGACTACAGAGAAATAAGAAATCTTCATGAAAAAAGTACCAAAAGTCAAAGAAATATTTACATGTCATAAAAGATCCTTTTCCTTCATATTAAATAAACTATGAATAACAAGACCAATCAGACAAAAAAAAGATCACAGATCAAGAGAAAACACAATTGGCTCTTAAATGTAATAAAAAATAACAGGAGAAAACATTTTTATATATCACAATAAGGGTCTAAAAAGTTTGAGAATTATGTTGATGAGGAAACCAGTCACTGCAAAACATATAAAACGTGGAGTATATTTAACACACCTTCTATGGAGAGCAATTTTAGCAGGCTTCAGCAAGAAGCCTGAGAGAAAACAAGCACAAAGACAGTTTCTACTAGATCCTATGTATGGGGTTTGGTTTTTATAATTAGCAATTTTTTAAAATATGCATGCCTTTTACCTAGCTACTCCTTATAGGATTCTTTCATGTGTGAAATCACAAGGATAGTCACAGCAACATTGTTCTTAAAAAAAAAAAAAACAATACAATCTTTATTCGGTTGCATACTGCAGTTAGCTATTTAATATGCCAACTGTCATACTAAAAAGTTACCAACAACGTTAAGAACTACGTATTTAGATATATGCATCTAGATGTATACATACACCGTTATTTATGGTTACACCTTTATTGGATAAAGTATTGCATCACTGGAGTTATCCAAGTTAATAGTCTGGAACAGTATAGCTGGGACTTAATAAGATGAACTATCCTCTCATATCTACCCTTTTACATTTTGTACCACTTAAATATGACCTATTTATAAAGCTTACATAAACATACCTCCAATTAGCGGCTAGTCTAGAAGAGAATTTTAAAAATTACTCATTTCAATGCTTTCATTTATCTTTTAGTCACCTAGTTGCAATTATTGAGAACTTGTTTAGTCTCTCAGATCTGAAATTTTTATTTCAAACATGAGCTAGGCAGGGCCCATTTCAAATCCTGATTTGCTATTGATTCAAATGGGTGTTCTTAAACTACAAACAACAGAATGTCAGTATCCCAAAGTTAGGGGACAAGAAACTCTATAGGACAGCTTTGTGGGTCTAATCTATAGATAGAGAAATTTTGTGTTTACTTAATTTCCATATTTAGATTTTAACAACTTCCCATCTTTTCTGTGCATTAGGTGCTGTTTTCAAGTACTTTACAAAATTTTCATCATTAAAACACTGTGAAGTAGGTATTTATCCCATATTACAAATGAGAAAAAATAGGCTCAAAAGTTCCTACTTCTATAAAGCCCTACACCAGGGTATGCATCTGAAATACATTACCCCAAATACTTTAATTGTACTAAGTCACCGAACACCTGAAAACAAATTTTTATTTTATGATCAGTGAAAATCCTGCCAGGTAAGGTAGTGCACACCTGTAATCCCAGCCACTCACAAAACTGAGACAGGGTTGCAAGTTTAAGACCAATCTCAGCTACTTAGCAAGACCCTAAAGTCGTAATGAGACCCTGCCTCTAAACAAAACAAAAATGGGCTGGGGACATGACTCAGTGGTTAAGTGACCCTGGGTTCAATCCTCTATCAAAAAGAAAAAAAAAAACAAACCAAACTTAGGTAATCAAGATAGTCAAACTGTCAACAAAGACTTCTATAGGTAGGCATTTAGTCCATAGATGATCGACTTTCACTAATACCTCTAATATCAACTTACAAGTTAACTGTTGCCTCCTCAAGTAAGCATTCCTAAAATAAATGCCATCCCCTATAAATACAAATTCTAGTGAAATTTAGATTAGTCAGGGAATATCACAATCAAATACTTCTTAAGTCTAGAATTCTAGGTAACTAGCCTAAGACCCAAGATTTCAGATATAATTCAAAATCTACTCGGGTATTCTACCTTTAACTTAATAAAAAGCTAAAATTTTTGTAATTTTTTTAAAAAAATCAAATGTGTACATTTTAGAATTCACCACCCTAGCTACATAAAATTTCTGAAGGCCAGAGCAGGTAAGGGACAAGTTACTTAATAAATGAATATAAGCATCAAGCACAAAGTGTAATCTTTCTTTGAAAAGAAAGTTCATAAACTTCTTAAAGTGTATTAAATTCCAGATCTGAATTTCAAAGTTTAAAACATTTTACTAATTCTACTGTTACCTAAGAACTATTGGGCATAAATTTTTTTCAAAAGGGAAAACTAATTTAGCATATTAAGACAAAGACAATAGGAATAATATACATAATTTTATTACAAATTTTTTTTAAAAAAAACCAAAATGCAACATCCTAAAAAACCCAAAATTTACTAATTCCTATCAGTTTGCTGTGCTACCATACACAAGAAATTAAAGAAACCATTAAATATTTAGGAACATTCAACATCAGAAGCTTTAAAATCTAACTGTATGTAGTAGCCCTTCAAAAAGCTACAATCTGCATTTTTAAAAAAGTATTTTCTCTACAAAGAATCTTAGCAACTATACAAAAATCTGTACAGTTTTTATACTGAAGCTAATGTTGAGCTGCACTTGAATTCACATTCTTAGCAAAACAGTTGCCTGAGCACACACACACTCCACACACATCATTACAGGACAGCCACTTATTCTTCATCCTCCTCCTCTTCCTCATCATCTTCATCCTCCTCCTCTTCTTCCTCTTCCTCCTCATCTTCTGGTTCACTCTTCTTCTTTGAGCCTGTTGGCCTACCAGGGCCCTTCTTTCCTGCTTCACTTTTGCCCTTAGCACGGTATGCAGCAATATCCTGAAATATTGTCAAAATAATATGATCAACATCCGGTGTCATTACTCAACTCTGAAAAACCACTTCATTGTAAAAAATCTAAAACTATTGACCAATAACCTTGATAGCTGTCTACACAGGTATTCAGAGTCTACCTTACTTTGGGGAATATTTGTTTGCTTTAGACTTTCAGAAACCAAATGGTGTAAAAAATGGGAGTTGGTCAGTGAGTGCTTTCGCTACCAATATTCATTTACATCACACATTTCCCTGCCAACTTCACATTCTGAATACATCTACACAAAATATTTGGCCCTCCAACTTCTTAAAACAGACTTATCTAATTACAAATGAGAACATATGTAGGAAATTTCACAGTGCTATAAACATTGCTTTCAGTCAAAGGAAGGAAGGCCTCAATGAGCTTGTTGCTTAATTGGACAAATTCCATTAAGGCTCTTCTTAATGTAACTGATGACCATTAACATAAGATTGCCTGAATTTCCCAACTTTCTCCAGTTCATATCTAACATACTTTTAAAAAAACAATGTTTACCTCATTTTAACCTCTTTTTAAGACTAACACAATATACCTTCTCATATTTCTCCTTTAGCTTAGCTGCTTTCTGTTCATATGGCTGTTTATCTTTGGCTGACTGCTCAGACCACATTTCGCCCAGTTTTTTTGCAGTATCCCCAATGGACAGGCCTGGGTGTTCACTTTTGATCTTTGGGCGATGTTCAGAGCAAAACAGGAAGAAGGCAGATCTGAAAGAAAGCAACAGGGTTAATAAAGCAAAAGTAAAAATCTAAGGGATAGTTTGGCCAATTTAAAATAAACTTACGGTGGTCTCTTAGGAGCGTTGGGATCTTTTTTCTTTCCTTTCTTATCACCTTTGGGAGGAACGTAATTTTTCATCTCCCTGTCATAGCGAGCTTTGTCACTTTTTGCCATATCTTCAAACTTCGACTTCTCCTTTGCAGACATGGTCTATGAGCATAGAATGAGGAGTAAAAACACAGCAATTTTGTAAGCTATAGACCCCCCAAAAAGATTAAGAGCATCTTTAAGGATCACATTTCCTTAGTTAACGACTCTGTGCTTTCGTCGCTTCAGTGAAACACTGAAGTTTGCTGCCTGAAACGCCAGGGTCATCAAGGTTGTTAGCTGCCTGCCCCAAAACACCTGAAAACCCTCAGCTCCGAAGCCCTCACCTTCCATCTCTCCGAGCACTTCTTGGAGAATTCGGCGAAGTTGACGGAAGAGTCCGGGTGTTTCTTCTTGTGCTCCTCGCGGCAGGTCTGCACGAAGAAGGCGTACGAGGACATTTTGCCCCTCGGCTTGTTGGGGTCTCCTTTACCCATGGTGGCAGCCGCCGTCTACCTGGCGTGGAGAAAGCCGGCGGGTGGGCGCGGAGCCCGCAGCAGCGCTGGCGGGGTGCAGCTTCCCGCCCAAACCCGGCCCGCGCCCCCCTCCTCGCGGGCAGGCGGCCGCCGCGCCCGGCTCCCCAGCCGCCTCCGCCCGCCGCCACAGCCGCGGCCGGCGACTCCTGACGCCGGGTCAGCAAGTTTCTCCGCGAGGCCGGATTCCGCCGCCCGCCCCTCACCGAGGCCCGGGACGCCGCGAGCGCCCTCGCAACCCTTTCCTGACAGAAATGTCCCCCGACTTCTACGTCGCGAGCCTAGCGCAGACGAGTCGCCTCGCGACCGACAGTCAAAAACTACTGGAACCGGGCCCGGGGGAGCTTCCCGCCCTCCCGCCTGCCCCGACACCCGACCCCGCCCGCCCTTGGCAGCCCCGGCCCTCACCAGCCAGTACCCCAAATTCAGCTCGCCAGGTCGGACCCCAGGAGTCACGGCTCCGAGACACAAGAGAGGGCTCTGAGGGAAGGGGGAAGGACAGGCCCACGAACCAGAAGAGATGAAGGGGGATTCTTGCCTGATGGGAGCTTTTCCTCAGAGACCCGCAGAGCGGCCGGATCAGACAGAGAAGCTTCCTCCCCTGGGCTCCGGTGTGAACTGGTTTATCGCTAACGCAATCCTCAGCCTCTTGTTTTGCAGAGTTCTCCGCGCCACGGCAACTTGACGAGCGCCGCCAGAGACCACACCCCCACCTCTCTGATTGGCTCGTACGATTATTCAAACCCGGGGAGTCCCCGCCTCCTCCCCAAGACGTCTCCCTATTGGTCAGTGTCTCTCTAGGTCCGTCCCCCTTTCTCCAGCCTAGCAGGTTCGGTGGGTCACCCAGGTCGTTAACTCCCAGACCCGTTAGAACCGGTCAGAAGAGGAATGTACTGCTCGATCCTGATTGGCGGCAGGAAAAGGGTTTGAAAAATGGCGGGCCTGACAGTGATTGGCCAGGACTGCAAATGGAGGAGTGGTTGGCCCTAGAGGAAAAGCCCCGCCAGATTTAAAAGTAATAAGTCAGGAGCCTGGGGGTGGTTCTCCAGGGCCCGGCGGCGGCATCTGGGCTTACTGACGCTAAGGTAAAGGCGGAAGCCTGTCTTATCCCTTTTCCAACCAGTTTTGGTCCTTTCTCTCCTACGTCCCAGCTCGACCCTGCAGCGTTGTCTCTTGGGAGCTGTAGTCCCTTGCGGCCCTGCAGTCTCCCTAGCACTGTTCAAAAAACAGTAAGTGGCGGAGACTGAGGAGTTTGATCTGCGGACCGATTTTTCTCAGCCCCTTGGATGTGTCGTTGAGGCTGAGTAGACCCGCAAAAGACAAGGCGAGAAGCCTCAGAGTGTGAGGCGCAGGAGAGGGCAGTTGCTCCCGCCTCCTGTGCGTAGGGTGGTAAAAAGCCAAGTGAGGCGCTTCCCGCCGAGGGAGTTTCCCTCGGGAAGTCCCGCCCTTCATTGGCTCTTTGTCTCAGGTGTCAAACTTTAGGAAGTGAACGGGCGCGCCCTCCCGCGCCCCGCTCGCCCCGCCCCCCGGCCTGTCCCGGATTTCGGCTGTAGACCACGGGGCGAACCGGGGGCCCGCGGCCCACGCCCCAGTCCTCAGCGCGCGCGTGGAGGTCGGGGCCCAGGCGGCCGCCTCACTTTGCTCATTGACTCAGGCTTCTAAGGTGACAGTTTTTAAAAAATTGAAAATCTAATAAAACTATGGATGCTTCACCCTGCCTCACCCCCAGTTGCATACATTCGTCAAATTATGTACAGCAACATTTTAGACTCCTGCAAGCTGCCTTAACTTGCTGCTTACCAGCCTCACAAGCTGCCTTCCCTAAGGTAGGACTTTGACCCTTTAGTAAACTATTTCTGTGTTGTGTCTAGTTTTGAAGGTTTCCCCGCCCCCAGCCTTTTGGCCTATTATCTATTGCACTGACAGTTTCAATGGGTTTTTTTAATTTTGTCTTGTTTTTAACAGTAAGTTTGCTTGCATTTGAAACTGCATGCTCCTCTTTGGTTTGAGTATGGTAATCATACTCGGTGATACGTCAGATCCAGCAATTCTTTACCCAGATTTACTAATAAAAACTATAGATTTTTTTTAAAGTATTTTTCCTTTATGACGGAATAGGGGTTGCTCAATATTGTGAATGCAGTTCATGCCAGTGAATTGTACACTGACAAATGGCTAAAATGGTGACTTTTATGTATGTTTTACCACAATTAAAAAAAAAAAAGTGGCAGTTTTTCAAAAAGATACGTGAATTTTCTTGTTTTAAGGATCTTAAGAATTTTATTAGTCATAATCCTTAATTTATAACATTTTTGTGTCTGCCGAATCTTCTATACCTACAAAATGACAATTGCAGCTATAATATAAGTTGTGCTTATATAAGAATTGGGCATTTACTCAAGAACTCTTTACTGAATATGTTAAGCAATGAATTTAGCAGTGAAAATATAAAGATGAAGTGTCATGGCCTTTGCCCTTGGAATATTTACAGTGTAGAGGAAGACAAAAATAGGAAAGGGCAGTAAAACATAATAATTGTTGAAATTGTTCAATTATGAGAGCATAAAATAATTACCTAACACCATGGGGAAGTAGGGAAGCCTTCCATGAAAGTAGCATTTGATTACAGTTGGAGTGGGAATATTAAATAGGGGGGAAAATAAACAGAAAAGCCTTTGAAAGAGCCTGACTTATTTGGAGATCAACTAGAAGGATGGTTTTGGACTGGCAGTTTACAAAGAAATTTAGTTTTTCCTATAGTCAAAGGAATTACTGAAAATTGTGAGAAAGGGTAAAATAATTAGATTTCCACCTTAGATGGTAGCATTTACAGCACGGTAAAAATGAAGTCACATTAACTTTAAAGTCATAATCTACTGAGTTCAGTGGCACAGATCCATAATCCAGTTATTCAGGAGGCTGAGGCAGGAGAGTTGAAAGTTGGAGGCCACCCTGGGCAATTTAGTGAGGCCTGTCTCAAAATTGTTGAAAAGGGGCTGGCCATAGCTCTGAAGCAGAGAGTTCCTGGGTCCCCAGTACCAATATTTACTAAAGTTTACTTCACTTGGAGAATTTTGTGTTGCAATAATAAATTGGTTTCAAAACTTTTTATGTCACTATAAAGCAATAGTGAATTTATTCAACATCCCAAATCAACCCACTTGAATCAAATGTATGACATATGGTATGTCAAGAGCTTTGTAATGTTTTGAACAACTAATAAAAAAATAGAATAACTCAAAAAAAAATCCCAAATCAGAGCTACTAACTGAAGTCTACATTTCATTCTATTTTATAAGAATCATGATTCTAAGACCTTTTTCCTTTCAATTATACTAGCAATTGGTTGGGTTTGAGGTGCTTATTTTTCAGAAAGGTTTTTAATCCCTAATCTTGATGCCTAGAAGAGACAAAGGACCATCAGGCAAGCCAAGATTGATGATAGGCTCACTTAAGTGTTATGGGTTAAATTGTACCCCCCTCAAACTTCATATGTTGAATTTTTAGCACCCAGTACCTCAGAAGATAATCTTAATTGGGAATAGGGTCATTGTGGGATACTATTAGTTAAGACAAGGTCATACTGGAGTAGGATGAGCCCCTAATCCAGTATGATGGATGTCCTTATCAAAAAGAAAAATTTGGACACCTATACAGGTATTAGAGGTAAGACAGTGTGAAAACACAAAAATATAGCACATGCAAGTAGAGAAACCTGTAACAGATTCTCCTTCCCTTACTGCTCTCAGATCTGCTGATACCAATTTCCATTCTTCATCATAGCAGAGAAAAGAAAAACATTTCTGTATTTAATCTACTTTTACCATTGCTGTTAAGATTTCACTTTCATGCTATACTTCCTGGCCTAGAAGTAGTAATATTGAGAAGCACATTAAAGTGTAAATAGGTTTAACTAAGATCTTGATGGTTGTTGATTATAGAACACTACCATTTTTGGTGAAAAAAAATAAAGTATCTGGTAGCATAAAAAGAAAAACTTAGTCCTAAATATAATTCTGAAAAGATGAATTAATACACAAAAAAATCAAGGCTTAGGCTGGAGGTATGGCTCAGTGGTAGAGTGCTTGCCTACCATGCATGAGGCCAGAGTTCAATCCCCAGTACCACCAAAACGAGAAAAAAAGAAAAAAAAAAAAAAATCAAGGCCTGATTCACCGTAGTATGACTTATTTGACATACTATCACAACTTTATCAGAAAACTGAAATGTCCTAAAAGGAGTAATACTAAAGGTCTTTTTCACTGTTCCAGTCTTATGATATTTCTAAATAGGGAAATAAAGTGGTATTCTCAATTAACTTGAAAACTAATTTTTTCCAAGAACACATTAATTTTACGTATTTTAAAACAAACACCCTATATTTATTAAGGCAGTACACCTTTCTAAAAGATGATGAAATGCAAAATGTATTTTTTCTTCACAAAAATGATAAATAAAGGGACTGGAGCTGTGGCTCAGTGGTAGAGCACTTGCCTAGCATTGTGAGGCACAATGGTTTCAATCCTCAACACCATGTATAATACATAAATAAATAAATTAAATAAAGGTTCATTGACAACCAAAAAAATATTTTTAAAAAGATAAAAAAATAAGAACTTGTGATTTAGAACTGTTCACTCACTTGGCATTTCTAGGCCTACGATTGAAAAACTAAATTGAGCTTCAGGGGATAATCTCTAAAGTATCAACTCACAAACTGTATGATTCTGTAATTTTGGCAGTATGTGATCATAATGTGAGCAAATAAACATATTTTAACTTATGCAATTGTTATGTAGTTCAGTGATTATAATTAAACTTAAAAATATACATAACGTGTCTATAAGAATACTGGTTAGTTTTAATTCCAGTTATTCTAAAACGGTGGTTGATGGAGTAAGAGTTGATAGATGCTAAACATAATAAATTATGTAGACCAAACTGGATCACACAATATTTCCATCATCTTATCCTTTCATTAAAATTATCTGGACAACTTTTCCCCTCAGATGGTATCATTATATCACTTTATTTGCCAAACTATCTTAATTCGGCATCTCACAAATCATAAAACATATGCTGTTAGTAATAAATTAATTATGAGGAGCAACACTATTTCCAAAGTTTGTCCCTATCCTATACCTACCTGTAAACAACTATTCTATTGAAAAACTTGAATTTATTTACAACAATGTCAGTCTTGCAGAATTGTATTAAAATGATATGCTAGATTGGAATGCCTATCATTTATTTGATCAGTCTTCCTAAAAATTTTATACTTTTAATAATCTGTGGTCATAATCAGATTGGAAAATACTAATGGATAATATGTACATTTTTTTTTTCCAGTACTAGGGATTAAATCCTGGGGGCTCTGCCACTGAGCTATCTCCCCATCCCTTTTATTTTTTTATTTTGAGACAGGTCTCACTAAATTGCAGAGACTGGCCTCAAATTTGCAATCCTCCTGAGTCACTGAGATTAAGGCATGCTCCACAGTGCCTGGCATGATATACATTTTTTGTAGACCCTTCCCCTGAAAAGCGATAAATAAATTCCCAATGGTGATTATCATTGATTAATTAACTCATAAAGTGAGCCAAAATGAAGTCTACTTTATACAAGATTAGTAGCATATAAAATAGTTATTTTCAGTTGAATAGTTGGTGAATAAACTGAAA